CCTGCTCCCCCGCTTCCCACAGGCTTCAGTCCACCCACAGTGTAATAAAATCGTTTCTTCTGTGAGGCTTCTGCCTCTGCTCTGTGGGCCTGGAGAGGGACAGGACTGCTGGGGGCTGACGGGATGCCGTCCAACCGGTTCAGGCTTTGGCCACCCAGTTTAGCAGGTTTTCCCACCCCTTCCCGAAACTGTCCAGGCCCCTGAGGGTGGAGAGAAGTGCCAAGCTTGACCACCAGAAGGGAGGGGCGAGAGGACCATGGGAGTAGGGGACCCAGGGAGGCTACTATGTAGCTTATTTCTTACCGGTTTGAGCCTGTCCACAGCCTGCTAGCTCTTGGGGTAAGTCTTGGGGAGGGAGAGCACACAGACCTGAACCCTGGTTCTTACCTCCACTCCCCTTTGGTGTGAGGGACTGGGGACAAGGGTCCCATCTCACTCAGGTGACCACTGCCTCCCTTCCCCACCCACAGAAGCCTTAACTTCTTCACAGTTGCTGGGATGCTGCCCAGAAGTCTTTACTTGCGTTCTCTACTCCAGCCCCTGTCTTTCCTGCTACAAAAAACAATTCTTTTCATTCATTTATTCAACAAATAAGTTATTGAGGTATGTGTGTCAAGCTTACCAAGTACCAGAAATTCATTGTTATGTAGATAAGCACAGAGGAAGCACCACGTAAGCACTTTATAGATCTCAAGTTATTGCTGGACACACACCCTGGATGAAAGTACTATCACTCCCATTTTATAGGTAAGAAATGAACTGCCATGTTCAGTTCCCAAGGTCTCAGACCTGATACTGGAGGACCAGGGTGAAAACTTAACATTATGGCTCTTGAGTCTAGTCTTTCGAGAGATACTGATGAGTATTATGCAGAAAAATAAGCCAGTGATTTATATGGGCCTTCAAGGTTGGGGACTACTTTGAAACTGGAGTGCAAGCAAGGAGAATATGTGTGGAAATTCATCATATGTAGCTCAATGCACTTCTCCATCCACACGCACCTAGGAGGCAAGCCCCCAGGTCAAGAAATAGAACCTCACTAGCACCACGGGCTTCATTTTGGTGGATAACACACCTCTGCTGTGCCTCCTGCTGTAAGCTTGGTCTGGCCACTTCCCCTTACTCGTCTTTCAGCGTTCACTCTGGGTTAGGTTCGTGGCTCACGAAATCCTACCCCACGCAGCAAAGTGAGGGGTACTCCCTGCTGGAGGATGTAGATGGGATTTAGCACAGAGCACCCCTTTCCATGTAGTTATCTGTCATCCCATTGCTGTGAGCTGGAGATGCAGATGGCATCTTAGTCATCTCTGGGCCTCCAACACCCATGCTCCCTCTGTGACCTTAGTAAATGGTAGTGTAGTTCCCTGAATGTTGAGTAGATAGCAGTGGGTGGGGTTCCTTACCTACATTAGCAGTTTCCATTTCGTAGGATACTATTTATGTTTCCTAGGTTGCCAACTACTCATTGCGCTCTGTCTGGTTTCCCCAGCTCTGGAAACAGCCTCATTATCCCTTGGTTCACTGTGGGCTGCAGCGATTAATTTAATTCTGTATTCCAAGTCCTAGAGCCGTGGTCAACGTGCACTAAGAGCTTAGTAAATGTTTGTCAAACCAAAGGGAATATCCTCTTGGGGTCATAGATGAAATGAGAGATGCCAGGCAAAGCTGAGTGTCAACCCTAAGAGCTAAGGGTGTAGTGGCTGGATCAGCTGCTGCAGGGGGTAAATGGGGCTGCAGGGGGTAGATGGGGCCGCAAGGGGGCGCACTCACCACCCTGTCTGGTTGGAGCAGAATACACAATCCCAGGCAGTGAATTTTCCACTCAGCTTCTGCTCTCCTGAAGGAGCACTTGGTGCAAACAGAAGGGATGCAAATACTGTAACAATACTGTGATCCCCCAAGCTGCTGCTTGTCTCTGTGACTTCAGCTCCATCCCTGCCAAATGAACTTTCTCAGAACTTACATGCCTCCATTCTTTTCTGCACTGGCCATACCTTAAAGGCTTCTTTGCCCCTAGCAAACTTCTATTTACCCTGTGGTTCAAATAAAAAATTTTCCAGTCAAAGTTCATCTCTACCTTCTGTTTGCCCATGCTGTACATAGTTCTGCTGCAAATACTAACATGTGACCCATGTTAGTATATATCTGTCATCCTCTGCAGAAGGCTCCCTGGGACAGGAATGGAGTCTTATTCACTCAGCTTCCCCCATGCCAGGCTCTAATTGTGGAGAAAAATTATCCAACAAACGACTGTTGAATAAACCAGAGATTGGTAAAGCCATACAGAGGAAGGAAGAGGTGGACAAATGGCTTCATGGAGGTGGTATAAAATGAGATTGAGCAGGTAGGTGTGGGTATTCCGGGCATAACAAAGTCCTGGTGAACAAAAGCTGGGCATCAGGGGATTTGTTTTGACAAAAGCAGCAAGCTGCTGAGCTTGGCTCAAGCATTAAGAGAAAAAGTTGGAAGTTGGTGGGTAGAGGCCACGTCAGTGGATACTTGGAGATTTGAGTAAAGAAAGCGTAATCTAAACTCTGCTTTAAGGAATGGACATTGAGTTGGTCATATCACTAGAGGTACAATCCCAGAGAGAGGGAAAGAAGGAGGAAGGCACACTAAGTGAATCAGTCAGGGTAATAACTGTTGTAAAGGACATGCTAGTAAAGGCTAGTTGAATGATTGCATGTAGGCAGCCTACAATCATGTTTTCGCCCAAATAGTGGTTTCATTTCTTTAACCACCTAATGACATTTGAAGATCCAGGTAAATCTGTGCTTAGCAAATCTACATTTCTAGCTTCTTGTGACAATTTGAGAGACTGTCAACCAGGGTCCACATCCTGCAGCAGTCTGGGCACTGAGTCTAGGGCCTTTTGCACTGAGCGGGCACTGACCTGCCCACAGCCTTCTGCTCCAAGGTTAGGTTCTGGGTTCTCTGGGATCAGCTTTGGGACCCTCCTCATCTTATCCCTTATTACCCTTCCTGCCTTTGCCATATTAGGGATTTTTCTCCAAAACATAGTGGTCTCAACAGTTCAAATAAACACTGACAAAAACTGAGTTGTTTCTCCCAAACCCATCCCTACCCACTTAAACAAACAGCCTGACCGAGGAGTGGTTTGCCTATTGCACAAGATCACTCCCTTCCCCACCCAACCGCAGCTCCATTAAAGCCTGGGAAGGCATTTTGAAGTTCCCCCTGGGAGGGGTTGTTGTCAATAGCACCACCTGGAAGCCCCAAACCAGGAAGCCCGGTAGCTGCTACCAGAAGGTGGCTCTAAGACAGCCGCCTCTTCTTCCACCCACCTCCAGTGGCTCCCAAGGGCCCATCAGCAGAGCACAGAATGAGGAAGACAATAAAGTAGACTGGGAAAGAAATTCAAAAGCCCCTTGTCATTCGGTTAAATAAATAAAACAAAAAATCTATTTGTTCGGAAAATAAATAGATAAAAAAGATATTTACTCAAATGTCCTCTGTGTTACGTCTCATTGCTACAAATGACAAATGGTCTTGGTTTTCCTCTTTTGGCCAAACTAAACTTCCTAAATTTTCTAAAAGGAGTATCTTTTGCTTTTGTAGTAAAAAAAAAAATAACCAGAAGGTTATCCTTCTGGAAAAGTTTTCAGATATATTTAAAATATCCTTAATATGTTCAAATCAGATATGCTTAAATATGTTTGATATTTAACTCATTAAACCATGAAACTCTAGGGGCCTCCCTGGTGGCTCAGGAGTTAAAGCCTCAGCAGTATCAAGCCCCTACCAGCCATGTTCCATCCCCGGCCAGGGAGCTGACCTACATGTCACAGCAGACCTGTCTCTCCCACTACTCCCCTCAGCAGTGTATTTCAGTAAATCTGTCTGTTCTGCTCCCCACTCTCCACTCTCTATACTTCTGGCCTACACCCCAGTTCTTGTATGCATAAGTAATTAAAAATAAATCTTTAAACACACACACACACACACACACACACAATGAAGCTCTGTGATGGGACAGAGACCGTGAGGATAGAATAGGAAAGGGAACTTTTGGACTTCTGGAGAGGGAGACGCCCCAACATGGTAAGTGGACTCTGGGGAGGGAGAGCCTCAGTCTGCTGAGCCTTCAGGTTTTCTGTCCTGGGAACCTGGCTAGATGTCAATGCCACCAACACAGCAGAGCCAAATGGAACAGGAGCAGCTTCCAGAACTTGGCAGAAGGTTTGGGGCCACCAGTACCAAGTGGTTACTTCGTTTTTGTTTACTATGCTTGCTTTACTTGTGATGGATTTAAAGGCAGCTCTAAGTGGTCTACCAAATTAAGAAGCAACATGAATATAAAGTAGGAACAAAAAAACAATAGACC